TAAGGTCCAAACAGATGTTTACATCGATGCTGTCATGTCAGACGCACCTTTTCAACAGCAACACGTGACAGCATGGCACGAGACAGAAACAAGGAACACTGCCAATACTTAGAGCTCTGCTTCGAAATGAGACGAAATTTATTTTGTTTTGTTGTAGAAGTTTTTGAGGTGAAACACGACACAATGTGCTGCTACATCCAGCTGCTGCTGCACATCCAGCTGCTGCTGAGAACATGAAGGGAGAATCTAAATTTGGAGCTGCGAGTTTCTTCATCTCTCTCCTCAGCTGGCCTCTGGTTGTTTCCTGAAGCTGGTCTTCAGGTTTTCTTCATGTCTTCCAGATGTTGGTTTGGGTTTCCTTCACACTGTGAGCTCAAATGAGAACCGGGTTCGGGTCTGACTACCAGAGACGCTCGCTCTCCTACGAGGGCTGGACCGCGCTGCCAGCAGAGCTCGTGCTCTTCAGCTTGTTGTCCTTCTTCCACTTCATCCTCCGGTTCTGGAACCAGATCTTGATCTGGCGCTCGGAGAGGCAGAGCGTGTGCGCGATTTCGATGCGCCGCCGCCGCGTCAGGTACCGGTTGAAGTGGAACTCCTTCTCCAGCTCCAGGGTCTGGTACCGGGTGTACGCCGTCCGAGCCCGTTTCCCGTCCGGGTTGGTGATATCTGAGGGGCGGGGGGGTTGGGAGCGAAGAAAGGGGGACATCATTACTGTTTCATAAGAGACCAGAATGCAGAAACCCTGACCGGGCTGGTTCTGGTGGATCATTAAACGCTGCTGCTCTACAGGTGTTTGTCTTACTGAGAACTTTGCTCCACAACAGAGAGAAGACATTAAAAATAAAAGAATAATACAAATTAAAGAATAATAAAAATTAAAGAATAATAAAAATAAAAGAATAATAAAAATAAAAAACGGACAAAGTGTCGGTGATTTGTGACATTTCGTGTTTTCTTCAACTCTTCATCTTTTATTGCTCGTCCTCTGCTTCACCTCTCACTTCTCACACGTAATAAAACCTCACTTTTCAAAGCAGCAGCTCTTTCTCCCTCTTCTCTCCCACCCGGCCTTGCATGCGCTCCCCCCGCCTGCCCAGGTCTGTGGCAGATATATGACGCCATGCCCGGACTCCACAGGAAAAAAAAAATAAAAAAAACGTTTTAAGACATTTAATAGAAAAAAGTCAAACTGTTTTAATTATTTGAATGCGCAATCCAAGTTAATAAATCTGTTTTGCTTGATTGATCTAATCCGTCTCACATTGATTTTAAAACCTTTAAAATTACATGATTTAAAAATATTTATAATTTTTGTTGTAATTTTAAGATCACAGCTTACAAAACTCAAGTGAAAGCTCAGAGTGCGGGACTGTCCCCGAACACAAGAGATCCTGCAGAGGTACCATGGCTGATGTGCAGCTTTCTCATCCAGGGGAAAATCTGCGGGGGGTGCGCTTCCGTGACCGCGCTGCCCGCGGGTCCAGCCGGGCCGCCCTCCTCCTTCTGGAACGAGAGACCACTCGCGGGCGGCGGGTTCCTCCCCAGACTCGGGTCTCGGTTTGGCTCTTTTGCGCCTGGGGAGGCGTCGTCCAGCTCCGTGAAGCGCTGCACCGCCGAGGACAACGAGGAGAGGTTAGGAGAGCTGAGGCTACCGTTTCCTGTTTTCTCCGCTGGGGGAGACGAGCTCAGCCTGCTGCTCTCACGATCGGCTGTCAGCAGCGAGTTTGTCCCGGGGGTGACGGAAAAGCTGGACTGTCTGACGCTAAAACCTCCTGAGTCCTCGCCAAAGTGTCCGCCGGTTCCCCCTGTCCTGGTGCCCCCCCCACCTCCTCGGCTGGTCACGGTCAGATCCATGCCATTGTAGCCGTAGCCGTAGGAGCCCGTGGCATGGTTCATGGTGGCAGCGGAGTCCCTGAACGCGGCGCCGCTCGCTGCGTCGCCGCCGGCTCCATAAGTCAGCAGCTGATAGTCGGGGCCGTTCGGGTAGCGCCCCGAGAACGAGTTTACAAAGTAAGAGCTCATTTAGATGTTTTACAGAGTAGAACAGCTGAGCAGCGGGGGCCGGCTGATTTGTTAGGCTTCTCCAGGTCGTTACAGCGCGTGCACTTTCAACGATTTATGATGTATTAGTGAATTATGGCGTTGCACTGTACTTCGGTTTTAGCCGCGTACGCGCCGTCCAACTGTGGGGGTGGGGTGTCGAGCTGCTGTGCGCGCGCTGCATGTGGATGTGTGCGTCAAAGCGCGTGCGTGTGATGGGGGAGGTGAGGGAGGAGATAATGAAAGACAAGGAGGAGGAGGAGAGAGGTCACGTGCTTCTCTAGACCAGTCGTAAATTGTCACCGATGACTTCTTAGAGGTAATTCATGCTCTGAGGTTTCTAATGATAAAAGGTTGTGCGCGCGCGCGTTTGTGTGTGTGTGTGGGGACTTTCTCTCTCACACACAGATTTTAATTCGGTCGAGGCGCTGGAGATGATTTAAGAGCGCCACCTACTGCTCATATACATTTTAGCATCTATTTGGGAGGAAGGAAGTGGGAGATGGGACAAGGAGCCTCCTTAAAGAAAAATCCCCACCCTCCTCCTCCAGTGTTCCTCTCCCCTCCCTTCGTGCACGCGCGTGCGTGTCATTACTCAGGTCTTATAATCTGACGGTTTCTCCTCCCAGTTGGACATGCTTGGAGCACCTCTCTAGGAAGGCGCCCAGGGGGCATCCTTACCAGGTGCCCGAACCACTTCAACTGGCTCCTCTCGATGAATCAAACAGTTGACTGCAAAAGTCAAAGCGAGAGCTTCAAGTAAAAATCTTCTAGATAAGGAGCACTTGAAGTGATGAGGAAGACCCTATGCTGCAGCCACACAAACTTTAGCTCGTTATCTGTCAAGTTGGCTGAATTACAGTCATTTTTAAGTTCAGTGCTGCAGCGTCCACTTTTAAAGGTGTCTTTATGTGTCCAATGATTTGTTTCTTAATTTTTTTAAATAAAATGTTGGAAAATTTGATATTTTGCTAACAGACATAATTGATTGAATCTTAAAACATTTGGTAGCATTTTACCAGCACAATCTGTTGGCGTTCTGATGTGCGCATACAGTGTGTTAGGTATCAGCCCATGATACTACCACACAGGTTTGAGGTCAACATCTGTAAAACGGACTGACTACTGCCACTTCATTTTAAATAATAATTAACATTGACTACTACTACTATTAATACTAATACTAATACTGCTAGTACTACTTAATGTAAAATATTAAATAATTAATATTAACTACTACTATTACTACTACAAACATTAACACTAACTTCTACCACCGCTACTGTTACTACTTAATATTTATTAATAAATAAATATTATTAAATATTACTACTATTACCACTACTACTACTACTATCCAGCCATCCATCCATCCATTATTTTTTACCCACTTCTTCCATTTTGGGTCACGGGGGTCGCCGGTGCCCATGTCCGGCAATCACTGTGCGAGGGGCGGGGTACACCCTGGACAGGTCGCAAGTCCATCACAGGGACACATAGAGACAAACGAGACAAACAACCTTTCACTTTCTCACTCTCACCTAGGGACAATTTAGAGTTACCAATCAGCCTAACATGCATGTTTTTGATCTGTGGGAGGAAACCGGAGTACCTGGAAAAAATCCACGCATGCACAGAGAGAACATGCAAACTCCACCCAGAAGGGCCCCCGGACCGGGATTTGAACCAGGGCCCTGCTCGCTGAGAGGCAGCAGCTCTACCTGTTGCGCCTACTTGCCGCCCTACTACTACTACTACGTAATATAAAAAATAATATTAACTACTGGGCGGCTGTGGCTGAGTGGTTAGAGCAGTCATCATCCAATACAAGAGTTGGGGGTTCAAATCCACCAGTAGTCACATGCCGAAGTGTCCCTGGGCAAGACAATGAACCCGTCATTGCCTCCGATGTGTGTCCCATCAGTGTATGAATGTGATCTAAAAGCACTGATTAGCCTCATTAGAATGATTTGTTTAATTATTTTTGTATAGATCTAATAGAGTGCTGTATGAATGGGTAAATCAGGCACAGATTGTAATGTAAAGCGCTGTGAGTATCTTCATAAGATAGAAAGGCGCTATATAAGTGCAGTCCATTTACAATTTACTACTATTACTACTAACATTAACTTCTACCACTGCTACTGTTACCACTTAATATTAAATAATAAATAATTAAAATTAAATATTACTAATAATAACACTAATACTAATGCTGCTAATACTACTTAATATTAAATTATAAATATTTAATATTAACTACTAATATTAATACTACTAATAATACTACTGCTACTACTTAATGTTAAATCATAAACAATTAATATTAACTACTACTATTACTAACAAAGTCCATGCTCAATATTGCAGGTATACAATCCAACATTTTTCAGTGAGGTCATCTGGACAGTTTCTTTTTTTGTGCTGAAACGTTTCGCCTTCGATCCGGACGGCTTCATCAGCCGAAACATTTCAGCACAAAAAAAGAAACTGTCCAGATGACCTGACTGGAAAATGTAGGATTGTATACCTGGATTATTGAGCATGGACTTTTGTTGTTTTCAACCAGTTTGACGCCTGTCAACAAGGAAGAGGGCCGGCATTGGAGGAGGGGGCGTAACAAAGAGACCGACTTATCACCAACATAACTGGTTTGTTCCACTTTGGAGTAAACTGTTGGGGGAATAATCAGTTTTGTGCTGTGTGTTTTTTTGACTGAAGAAGCCTTCCGGATCGATGGCGAAACGTTTCAGCACAAAAAAAGAACCTGTCCAGATGACCTGACTGAAAAATGTTGGATACTACCGTTACTACTCCTAACACTAACACTAACTTCTACCACTGTTATTGTTACCACCAAATATTAAAAAATAAATAATTAATATTAACTACTATACTGTTAACACCGATACTAATACTGCTACTATTACTTAATGTTAACTAATACATATTTAATATTAACTACTACTATTACTACTACTAACACTAACTTCTACCACTGCTACTGTTACCACTTAATATTAAATAATAAAT